ATTTCCTGGGATAATTCAAATTGTACTTCAGAAAATAGTAAATATATACAAAGAACATCCTGCGTTTAGAAGAAAATTAGGCAGATTAATTTTTTTCCTACATTTAGGCTGGACAAGTCCCAGACTCCCACTCTCTACTCATATGTGTACACAGGTGAAAGCACAATTAAGACATGCAATATATAATGTAAAAAGGATGGCACTCTGGAAATAATGACTATCATTATGGTTTTATTCTCAAAGTTTCCCTTAATCAAACACATGTAACTTTTTAATGAATATATTGAGAAATATAATATATATTATATATTTATAGATTATATATAATAAAAAATAAAAATATATTGAGAAATAGTAATCACAGAATTAGAGTAAAATAATAACTTTACCAGAAATCAAGTGTCTACAAGTGCATATCACAGCACATAAACTGCTACATAGCTCAGGTCCAATGACAACCAGTTTTAAAACCCTCAGCTTCAAGTGTGAGAAGAAAGGGAATACACTTTATGAGGGAATGCAGCCAGTCCAGTGAAACTGCAATTGAAGAGTCCCTCTCCAGAGCACAGCAGTCCTCCTCTCAACTTCTGAGTCTTCTGAGATATCAGCTAGTCCTGTGATTTCGTTACATAACAGCACACATTGTCTCTCTGACTTAAAACACAAACAGGGATTTTATACTAGCATTTTGAAATAGCTAAGCAAGGCATGGAATTAAAGATTCCCAGCTCTATGAAATGACTATTACCTGTTAGTGACAAACAAGTCATGTTTGCTCAGCTATAATTAACATGTAAATTTGTTGGCTTTTCTATCACCACTATTTCAAATATAATTTAGGTTTGTTCCACATATACTGCTAAAGGTTAATGAAATCTATACGGCATACACATTCCATGTGTCCCAGAAAATTGAATTCTCAGTGTTCAAGCTCATTTACAGAAAGAATCATATCTGTAAAGTGTACTAAAGAAAATACATATTCTAACCAAAAAGGTAGACAAGACGACAGAAAAAGTAGGGGACCTAGTTAAAGAGTACTAACTAACTGGAGTGACCAAAGGAAGCAATAACCAGGAGGAAAGAGAATTAATTACAGATTTAACAAAGAAAAAAGATATTTTAGAGGTTATTTCTCCAATTTGGATATTTAGGGTGGACATTAGACAAGTTCTTTGCAGAAGGAATGGCTGGGCATTGGAATGAGCTGTCTAGAGAGGTGGTAGAGTCACTGTCCCTGGAAGTGTTTAAAAAGGACTGGATGTGGTACTTACTGTCATGGTCCAGTAAATAAATAGTGTTAGGTCATAGGTTGGACTTGACCGTCTCAAAGGACTTTTCCAACCTAGCTAACAGTGACTGGGCCTGTTCCAATCCCCCAGTGATGCACATTCTTCTAGTATCAAAATAAATAATAATAAAGATTTCAACCTCTGCAAGTTTCAAGATAGGTCTGAGACCTTGAAACCTAGAGAGAATGAAATCCAGACCCAAACTTGTTAATCAGGCCAGATTGCTCAGGGCTTGCCTTGAAAACCTCAAGGAAAAATTGCTGCTGGGAAACCACTATGGGCAACCTGTTTCAGAGCTTTACAGTCCTATCAAAGAAAACTACTAACTGGACATTAAAAACAAACAAGTATGTATGTTCAAAAAGAAACTGTCCTGCTGTTCTCTATGCTTATTGAATTAGAAATAAGTGTAAGGGATACCTTGCATAGTTTTGATGCTATTAACAGAAAATGGCAAAGTCATTTAAGATAATCTCATCTCCTGTGTTTTCGTGAACCAAGCCTTTAGTTTATTCCTTTTTGTGCTACCAGGATAAAAACTGCAGACCACTGGAAGAGGAAATTACTTCCATAACAAACAACACTGTTAAAATTAAAAACCCTTTCCTAATGGCTACACAGCATCTCCCTTGCTGCATTTCCAGTCCACTGCTCTGCATGCACTACAGACACACAAACAGACCATTTCTTTCCTCCTTGTAGTAATGTTATGTATTTGAAGAGTGTTCACATATTTTCAGCTGACTACACACTAAGAGTCAATCATGCAATCCTTCCCCAAATGTTATGCATTTCTGAGAATCAATCATTCTCAGTGCTTGTCTTTCAAAATTTGTAAAATTGAAGCCATATCAACACCAAATAGCACTTTTTTATAGGACTTTTTAATTAGTGTTGCAGACAATACTTCACTTTGGAGCATCTTATTCTTTCAGTTGCAATTTCATTTTTCTTTTTGGGCTACATTTCTGATTTACCAAGAACATTCTGTATTTTACAGCTTTCTTCTACCTGTTATCAGTAACCTTCTGACTGCCTATCGTCATGAAATGTACTAGTCATGTTTTCTATGCCATACTGTAAAATTAAAATTCTAAGCAACATTAGAAGGAGAACAGATCCCCATTATATAGTTTGCCTACTTGGCAGCAAACCAATTAAAACTTCTCTCAGTGTATACTTTTTCAGTCACGCTATAAAAGAATAAACCAATGTTTTTGTTGCAGTTATAAGACTATCATATAAGAGTGACATAATTTATGTAACACAGAGAAAACAGAATACAAAGGAGAATTAAAATAAATTCACAGTGAGAGTATATTCGAGGGAAAACTTGCAACATTACACTTGCACTGTGTGTACTTCCTGTACCACTATTGGTTTCTGTAAGAGAGAAAAAAGTTCAGCTGTGACCAAAAGCAGAACAAGACTTCTGGAATCCTCAGGAAGAACCAAGTGTGGCAGAGAAACCCCTAAGCAGCACGAAGGAATCTCCCTCAATAATTTACATTACCAATGCTTCCCATAACTGTAATGTACAAATGATTACGCACTGTCACCTCAGTTGTCTCTGTCTTTCTGATGTCCCTAAGGCTTGTTCTGCCAAAGCAGAACCTAATACAAAAACCAACTATTTTCATTTGATGAAATGAGGTATAAGGCTGGGTTGGTTTCGAGTATTCAATCCTACGAAATGACAGGGCCACTGAACCAAAAGCAGAGGATGGTTCTTTTCCACGTACATTTATATTCCCATGTACTCCTGTGGGGCGTCTGGAATGGCAAATATCCCACACTGAGGTAGCTGCGTCCCAATCACCTTAGGTGATATGCAAAATGGAGTGTGCAAAAATTTTGTTCCTTAATACACAATATTGGGCAGAATTTGGTAATAGGAAAATTTTCCATTTCAGGCTTTGTAATCATGTTTGTTACACACAAAGTCGTGTAACTATTTCATTTTGTGCAATGTTAAAATGCAAATGTGTTGATAATTTTTTTATACTGGAGTTTAGTAGCTGAAACTTTACATTGTTATTGTTACACAATTATTTGAATCAAAGCTGAACTGAGTAACTGCTAAGACCTACGTCTCATAACCTTAAAGAACACACTTCCCACACAAATATCATGTATATCTTCTGATGAAATTAGCCCAAATTATTTTTGAGTGAACACTGGTAAATAAAGATCTTTCCACTCTTATATTTCCTTTAATTTCAAGGGCAGTTGAATGCAGCATTAATAATAAATAATAGTAAACATATTAATAGACACTAGATTTTTTTTTTCAAATGGACCTTTTAATTTTCATCTGAATTTACAGAGACAAAAGGAAAAAAAAATATGCTGGTTTAGCTTCCGGATAAGAAAAATGCGACTACCAGTGATTAGGTCATTTTATCTCTGCTTTAAAATAAGGAAAATCAAGTAAAGAGAGTGGCAGCAACAACTGGAACCATGTGCCTGTGCTCAAACACACTTTATTCATAGAACTTGAGGAGAGCACAGCACAGCTACAGAGCAATTATTGGGAGGAAAAAAAAAAAAAAAAAGAAAAAATGCACAAGCCTTTCAGAACTGATGAATAATGATACTACCATGGAAATAAGATCTGTCATTGGAGTCAGAAACACTGAAGCTTAACAAGTGGGGTTTTTTAGAGGCTGAAATCTCACATTATAAATGTTACTTGCTATGGATGCTGGTTTTTACTTCTGATACTTCTTCCTTCTTGGCTACTGGGATATTTCTTCCTAAAAAAACCTCCACATTTTAAATCTGCTTCAATTCTGTTAATCCATAGCATGCTTTCTTTAAAATATGAACACTGGAAAGCTGTCTGACACTTCTGAAGAGGTATGGTGGGTGAGTGGATATATCTGTGTCCAAAGCAGCCTAACTCACAAATATAATATATTACACTTTTTTAAATTCAGAAGCTTCCACCTACTCTCTATTTTTACCAGTCTGAATATTGCCAGAATAGCAGCTGCTGTCATTCTTCATCTTTATGATATATAAATTCAGCAGAAATGCTTTTCTGCACCCTTTTTAGACAGTGGGCCAAAGCACAGAGAAACCACTTGTTTCAAGAAAAGACTCTTACTTCACATTGCCTAATCCAAACCAGCCAAAATTAGTGAGAAACTAGTAAACAGGCATGAACACGGTTAAGAGCTGAAGTTACAACCATAAACTATCTCCACTGTTACTTTAATTCTTATTAGACAAGCTAATACCTGGCTCTTCCTTCCATTTGTCCCTCAACACACATTTAGTTGCTTTTGATTTACTTTACTTCCCTACCTGGGAAGACTTACCTGCCAGAAGTAACACAAGAATATTGTATTGCATCATTTAATGCCACTCAGTGCTGGCATTCCATCAGCCAAGACAGCCTTCCACAAAAAGGCTAAATGGGTTTAGTTCCCATTTTAATGCAAGCTATTGAACTATTTCCTGCCACTACAGAGGTTCTGTTGGTTCTTCATAAAACTTTTTCTTATAGGAAAAAAAAAGTCTAAAAGAAGCCTTGATGGCACCCAGGAAATACAGAAAGAACTTCTCGTTCTTAAGCATTCACATGTCAAAACCTTAAGAATTTTATTAATTAAAGGTTAAGGTACACTCTCAGAAAAAAGCTCTGCTTGGTTGGCCATCTATCATATTGTTAAACCAATAAATTACATGGATGAAATAATTTACCTTTTCACCTTCTTCACCCTTACTACCTGGAAAGCCTTGTTCACCCTGGAACAAAAAAGGATAAAATACAAATCTCAAACAAACATTGTTCAAGTAATGGTATTCTTTAAAATAATTTTAATGCATTGAACTTTTATTATAAGACAAAAATGAAATAATTTGGATGCTGTTTGTTTCTCATTCAAAAAGGTGTGAAATGTCTACAAAAAAATTATATGCCTTTCCATAGTTTTTTTCAGTTAATAGGAGTAATTTATTTTTCCATTCATCCTAAGGGATTTTCTCAGGTTTAAAAATTCTCAACTATTTATTGACTCTAGATCTGCTTATTAAAGTACTTCTATTCTTCCACAGAGTCAATTTTAATACACTTATTCCTATTAATACCTTCATTTTAATTTTTTAATATGACTACTCAACTGTGAAGGTCTTCAACCCAGATCAATTGGAAAAATACAGAGATACAATTTATGAAAAGAAAACTAATTTATTTCATTTTGAAAACCATATCCAATTACCCAACTATTAAAAACAAACCAAAACAAAGAAAGAGAAAACACAGAAGGGGTGACTTTTAAACTATTAACTCAAGCTCAGATTATTTCAGCAGATTGAATTCTTTGTTTGATGGTATTTCAATAAAAAGACCTATTATAATGCTCTTTCAACCTCTAACTTCCTAACTTTTAGCTCAGAAAAGGATCATAGTGTACAATCTTACTATGTTAACATCTTCATCAAATGCAATCAGCAGGCTGTCTATATTATACAAAAATAACACCTGCTCTAGGCTTTTATTAATGTGTACTTGCATGTTTTGTGAGACATACAGAAGACAGATGGGCAAAAGTATATACAGACAGCACAAAAATTACCTAATTAAAAAATGCAAACTTATCCTTTCTCAAATCATAGAGCTGGAGATGGTTTGCATGTCTTTTCCAGTCTCCAGAATTAAGTCTCATGGCCTTGAACAACACACATGTTTTTTTACACATCTGTAGAAGAAAAGAGTGGAAAATATCCAAAGGAAAGCTTATGGTGTTTTTTAAAATTCCTTAAAAAAATTAGACAGAGCAATGTCTAAACATTCTTTCACCCTTCAGAGAGTGTAATTTCCTTAAATAGAAGTCTAAGGTTTAAGTGAGGTTAACTAGAACAGCTGGCTATAGCTTGCAAAAATTCTAGCAGTGTTTTGTAAAATCTTTCAAGTAATGTATCGTGTACTGATCACGTACAACACATCTGGGAATTAAATCCAAAGCTTTGGAGGTGTGCAGAAATATAAATTATCAAATAATTCTGGACTTTTCATCACTTTCTACAGTGTCTGCCTTTTGCTTTTTTCTTTTGGTGGGGGTGGCTTATACAATCAACAGCTCAATTTTAGAAGCAAGCCCAAGACCAAGCATACAAAACGATTTCTAGTGAAATAAACTTCCACATGTCCTCACATGTGGAATGAAAGCTTAATTCCTGAAATAATTTACAAATGAGTACGATTTCTGTTCAGTTCATCTGGTTTCTTTTTTTTGTGAAAATTCATGTCACATATTCCTTTGAAGCCCCTTCCAGCCTGGGTTCTTCTATGATTCCCATTCTTCCCCAACTGCTGGACACACAACACAGCTAACACTTACTCTAAAAAATTCATGGAAGTGTTTTCTTCATTTAGCTTTTCCATTTGTGTTTTTTACTCAATCCCAAATTAATTATATGAAAATTATTCTGAGATAGAGTCAACATCTCTCTAATTTTAGCTTGTATTCATTTCCTCTCATCTTTTTATTGGACACATCTGATAGAAGTCTGACTCTGGCTTTTCCACACCCACTCAGTATTTACAAACAGCAATGAGTCTGCACGCCACCCACCACCCCCCACTTTCCAAATCATCTCACCCTAAGGCTGAACAAGCCCAGCTCCTTCAGCCTCCCCTCTTACATCATGGGCTTCAAGCCCTGGCCAGCTTGGTGGGTCTCTGCTGGACTCAACCCAAGGAGCTGCTCTTTATCCTCTCCAGGGAGCTCCAGAGTGGATGCAGAACTCCAGATGTGGTCTCACAAGCACTCACCAATCACTCCTCCTGGTCTGCTGGACATGCACCTGCTAAGGCAGCTTTGGCCTTATTCAAACAAAGGGCATCCAACAGAGCTCCCAACTCCCTTTCTGTAGAGCTGCTTTATAGAAATCTGGCACCTGTCCTGTGCTGTGGCATGAGGGTATTCCTTCTCAGAGGCAGGCACTCATGTTTGTCTTTACTTAAATTTAAGAATTCTGTGACAGCTCATCTCTCCAGAATGTCGAAAATATTGTTCCTGCCCTACCTTCCAGTGCACTGACTGCTTCCCTGCATTTGATAATATCCATGAACTTGATGAGAAACCCATCTTCCATGTTATTAATAAGGATATTAAATAATATCCAGTATTGCCTCATGGGGTGTGACACTTGTTATTAGGTAGCAGTCAGACTGCATAGCAGCATTCCACCTTTGACCTCAATCTTCCACCCACTCTGCTGTTCATTTATCCAGTCAGAACCTCACAGATTCTAGTGTAATTATATGTCTGAAGACTATGCCAAAAGCCTGGTTGAAATCAAGGTATACAACATCCACTGCTCTCCCATAATCCACACTGACAGTCATTTTATCAAGTAGGCAATCAGGCTGGTCAGTGTGATTTTTCCTTGGTAAATCCACACTGGCTGTTCACAGTGACCTTCTAGTCCTTCCTGTGTTCAGACATGCATTCCAGAATTTGCTATATAATTTTTCCAGGGACAGAGGTGGGGGTGACTGGCCTGCAGTTCAATGGATCCTTCTTGAAGATGGACATGATGTTTGCTTGTTTCCAGTCATCAGTGACCTTCCCTAGTAATCATAATTTTTTGCTAATGGCAGAGGGCAACCCTGCAGTGACATCAGCCAGCTGTCCCAGCACCCCTGGTTGCAAAAAATTTGGTGTCTTGCAAGCAGCCAAGTAGCTTAAGTGATCCTTAACACTCTCTTTTGCTTTGGTGGTCAGTGGTTCATCATCACACTCTCTGCTAACATGCTTAAGTAAACTGGCAGGCCTGAGGGCAAAACTAATTAGGGAAAAAAAAAGGAGGTGAAAAAAAATTTGGGTACTCTCAGCCTTTTCCAAATCTCCCACCCCAGTAAGTAGCAGGTCAACTTTTGAAGTTTGCTTCAGCTTTGCTTTTGCTATGGATGAACTTAACAGAAGCCCTTCATGTTGCCCTTAAAACTCTCTTATTAGTTTCAATTCCACATGAGTTTCTGGTTTCCTAACTATCACCACATGCTCTGGCAGTGTTTCTATGTTCCAACTGCGTAGCTCATCTGTGCTTCCACTGTTTCTTTTCTGTCTGAGGTCAGTTAGAAGCATCTTCTTCATCCATGCTGGTCTTCAGCCATACTATACTCCCTGCATAACAACATGAAGTGTTCTTGGGGTTTTAGGAAGCTGTCCTTGAAGATTAACCAGCTGAGCCTCTCAGATTTGCAGGACAATTTCAATCATTCCTTGGCTTCCTCTTTGCCACACTCAAAAAAAAATTCTCCTTGAAACTCTCCTCAGATGTCTTGTTTTCTAGGCCCCTGAACATAAATTAATTCCCTGCTAGGCCCTCTCTGGATTCTCCACATCTCTTGTGGAAGTGAGGGTGGAGGACTCCCCCAAACATGACCCAGCATACCAGGTGTAGCACCACCAAGCCACTGGTAACTTACTTCAAAGAATTCAAACACTACAGAAATAGAAAAGTGAAATTTAAAAACTAGCACATGTATGGCTGGCTTAAATTTTCCTTTGTGTGGCAAAATTCTCATATTAAGTTAGGCAAAACATTTGACAAAAGTTTTTCATGGACAAACACTGATTGCTTGTCCTGATACTCACTACAGGATTGCTTATCTGATTTTCAGTGTTTTAAATAAGCCTGTAGTACAAGTCACTGAGATCCTGGCTTTGAATATAGAAATTGACAGACTGGTAATCTTGTTGCTGAACAAAATGCTGGCTACCTCATCTGCAGAAAATAAGTTCCTTCCTTCCCCTTGTGCTATATTACAGGAAGTGTCTGCCCTAAAGATACACAAATTGCATCAAGGTCATGTTGCAGAACATTTTCTTGAAATTTTAATAACAACAAAATAATGGGGAATTTTTTGTGTGGTCTCTTAATTTGTTGAAGTAGCAGAACTATTTCCCCTACAATTTTCTAAAAGGAATTAGCTGGACAGACATTAAGATTTAATTCCAAATATTTGCCATTAAAAACATCTGCAATCAACAAAATATCTGATCATGTAAAGAGGCAATTTTAACAAGTATTACCAGCAAGGTCTATAATAAATATGTCTCCTTTTTCAAGTTCTGGCCTTCCTACAATATTCCACTTCCAGGAAGGAGCGAAAGATTAAAACGGAAGAATGGAAAAAATGCTGCTCCTCATCACATTTTGCTGAGATCTCAAAATTCTCAAATTTCCAATTTTTGAATCTGTAATCCTGTATTTGAAAAGACCCATACAGTTTGAAGACTTAGGTAATTAATCTGGTTTTAATGCAAAATAATACAGGTTTGTACCCCAGCACCATGTCCTTTCTCTTTTGAAAGAGAAGCCAGTAGTAAAGTTCCTCTGTCACATTATATAACTCAGAAACTGGATATGTAATTCAAGTACCATTTATGTAGATACTGGACAGCTGGCAAAAAGGATGCTGACACTGTAAATGGTTAGAATGAAACTTTTGTTTGTTTGTTTGGGTATTTGTTTGGCTTCTCTTCTGCCTTGGAGCCAGTGAGACCGGGTTTGCCAGGAGCACCTACTAAGCCAGTTTCCCCCCTGAAACAAATTGTACACAGCCATCATTTTATAGACCTAACTCATGACTGAGCTAAATTAAGAGAAAAAGTCATGTAGACCTATACAGGTCTATAATGGCTTCTCATTCCTTTTCTATGGAATAGCTGAATTCATTTCTAGGGTTATTTATGTCTTTTATCTTGTATTTGATTAATAGACTTTTTACTTTC